ACCTCCTAGTCTTTCTAATCTTATTAAAAAGTATCTGATTTGGTTACCTCACTGCACAAAATTCTTTTATGTCTTCCCATTGAATTCAGAAAAAGACTAAAGTTTCAGGGGATCATTAGAAACTTCCACAATTTAATTTTGCCGCCCAACCAGGCCTTGCTGTCCACTAGAGGCTGAAGGGTCTCACAGTCCCTACTCAGGCCTCCCATCTGCTTCCAGCTGTGTTTCTCAAATGCTAATATGCAGGCCTGTGAACTTGTTCAAAATATAAGCAATGATTCTCAAACTTTAATGGTGACAGCAGTTGCAGGGGAAATTTAAAAACAAAACAAAACTGAAGACCCATAGACCTTAGCCCCTAAGATTCTGATTCAGTAGGACTGTGATGGGGCCCAAAAATGTGTATTTACATGATTATCCCAGACAACTCTAATAGTGATTATGGACCACACTTTGACAAATGCTGATCTGGACCCTCAAGTTGCTCCTAATGAATAGGCGATACTAACTAGACTCTTGAGATCTGAGGCTTTCATCTGTGGTGCTGAATTCTAGCCAACTGACCTTTTCTGGAGGGATTGGAACTCCTCCATTTTACCAAGGCTACAGCTGACTCCTGGAGAGGCCTGAGTAATCATTGCAGTTTTGAGATAAAGTTAGTTCAAGATAATACACATTCCTGTTAACTTTTCTCACTGTCCAACCTGACCCATTTGGTCACATGTCCTCCACAAAATACTTATGCCCATATTATTCTGTATTATCTTTGGTTTTTCATGGACTAATCTCGTGCTATTTTCTTCCCTCTCTATTGTTTTATATCCCGTTGAACCAGTTCATCCTCAAACACTTTATTATTACTTTTACCTCTTGACGTTAATTGAAACTTGATTCTTCTTATAGACATCACTTTCCTGAAGCCACTTTAAATGGAAACTTCTTCCTTTGTTTACATACCTGTGGATCAAGAGGTTGATTTTCCAGAACATTTAAATTTCCTTCATATAAAAGCAAACAAGACAAATCAAATCAAAATCCCAGCTACTTTGTGATTCATTCCATTTGCTGTAGTGTCCTCTACCTCTCTTTTGCTGTTTATGGACATCCAGGTTCCTTCTTAGTCTTCCTAACTCTTAGTCTTTCTTTGAAGCCTCACCCAAATCCTTCTACCAACCTGGGTTCCCTCATTATTCACAGGTGTGGCATATGCATTATCCTGGTCTTTCAGTTCCTTAATGTATCTGCCATAAAGTTTTCCTACCACTTTAGTCCTTCTGGACTGAAATCTACTCCATCTCAATAATAATATTAATCGCCTCACACTCACACTGACTAGTGACCTTAGTAACCTTTTCTTCTCTAGTAAAATAACTAATTTTTAACTCCTAGTATTTGGCTTTTTTTTAAACTCTCAAATTTTATTATTTGGTTATTAACTTTATTAAGGCCAAAGATTGGTCCATTTTCTCCTTAACTCTAAACCTCTACTGTCTTCACTTCCTTTTCTACCTTTAGATGCCATAGAACATCATGTCACCCTCTTTTTATAGTACCCTAAAGTTTTTTTGCCATACTGCCTTTCTGTCTGGGAAACTTTAAATTCTGCTTACTCTAGTAGACTATCCTTCCCTATGTCAGCACTGAGTAGCTGAGCACTCAGAAAGAAAAATATTATTTGCAGTCAGGTAGTCCACTGCAGCCTCCTGGGCTCAAGAGATCCACCGACTTAAGTTTCCAGAGTAGCTGGTATTACAGGCACAAGTCACTGCACTCAGTTAATCATGTTTTCTTTACAGAACTCTTTCCATTCCTCCATAGCATTAATTCTAGCTCAGCACTTGCAAACCTTCAAACTTCCCACCTTTCTTTTCTCTCATAAGGAGATAATCTTGCCTTCTACTTCATAGTGAAAACAGAGTTACTAGATAGAATTCTCCCTACTTTTGGTTAATTTGTCAAAGTGTAGGTGAACTGGGCACTTTGATTTCTGAAAACTTTAGAATAACAACTCTTTAGCTCTCCAATTTTATACAGTAAGAATTGTTTCCTCATTGTAACAACTTATCTCAATGATAATATGATATCATTAATTTGAGTAATACTATAATTAATTGAAATAATTAATATTACTTATAATATTGCATTTTAATATTATAATTGTGTATACCTTGTCCACTTCACACTTGATGGTCTTTCAGATGATCTTTTTTTTTTTCATTTCCTTAAGTGTGGTGAGCTATCTTTGAAGGTCTGAATCATGAATGATGCCTTTAGGCAAGAGCTGAATGATTGATTACTCAGAGGTGACTCTTGTGTGCAATATTAAAATATATACGTTCCACAAGTGGGGATGTATTGAAAGGAAATTTAAAGTAAATTGTAGAACATGAGTAAATTCATGGAAACATGAATGAGCTTGTCAAAATCGTAGAACTAAAGCTGAATTTGTTAGTGTACTGGAACATGAGAAAGGAACAAATGACAAATTCAGATCATTAATGGTTCTTTATACTAAGGATTTTTGCTTTATCTAGGAAATGTGTCATCATTTCAATAACTTAAGTATGTTAGTGAATGAACAACTTTAAATTTGTAATACTCTGTAAACGGTCAATGTGCGATTAGATCAGGGACAAATATCTTCTGTGTTTATTATTATATCCTCAGCATCTAGCATGAAGTTGTATTTTCATGGTTGGTTCTCAACTTTGATCCAGCCATAACCAAATACCTTTTCTGCCTAATTATAGCTTCATGTTTAACGAAGAGTTTTCTTTAGTAAATGTCTTTCTTTTAGTCTTAAAAACTAAGGTAATTATTTTTTCTGTGGTCATGGGTTGAACTTTTTTTAATAACCTGTGTTTTGATATGTATTTAAATGTCACAATCTGGATTTAATGCTTTTTCTGGAAGCAGAGACATATGTGAAGGCTTCAGATTTCTTATTTCTTTACTTGTTCTTTCTGGATTTCATAAAAAAGGTATAAATGAGCAATAAAATAACTTGGTCGGAAGGTGATTGAATATAATACTACCTTTGTTTGCTTTTAAAGGTCAGATATTATGCTTAAAAATGCAGTTGGCAAAATTGCTCTGCAAAATTCAGGTTAAGAAAGCATAGTGAAAACAAAAATGCTGTATTTGATCTTAAAAGTCCTAACGGGTGCAAGATTTTAATTAGATAAAAATTAACTGAATTATTTTAATATCCAATTTAGGTATTAAATAAAATTAGCATTTTTCTTCTTTAAATATGTGTTATCAAGTTTCAAGAATGTTGGAAACTTGTGTGATGATTTAATCTGAAATCATTCCTACAGCAAAATTCATAAATAATAAATATTATCTTATTAATCCATATTTTAGTTTAGCTGGGTCTCAGAGCAAGTTAGTTCCTCAGGGAATGCAGTCTTCTTTATAAAAGAAGGTGATGAGACATACTCTCCAAGGAATTAAATTGTGAAACAATCTTGGTATTGTACATGCTAATATAAATCTGTTATTCCCTTTCCGCATCTATCACAACACATTTTAAATTGTGGCTGATCTTGTATGCAAATAGCTGTCTTATTAGACATTGCGGCTGTATGTGCTAATGTCTCCCTGGATTTCTTGGGAGTTTGCTATCTAACCATCAAAGCAATAGAAATGAATGATGATTACTGCAAGGCTTCGAAGAACAAAGAAAAGTCAGAACATTTTAAAGGTTCTACATGTCTGAGTCATTGACAGTTTGCACCATACAGATGAATGGGTATCTCTTCAGGTCATTTAAAATAGCCTCAATGTGTTTATTAGTAAGGTAAAATGCTTTCTATTTTTTTATGTTTCTTGCAGCTAATAAAATGTAAGTAATTTGTGTAAGAATGTGTTCTATAAGCATTTTTTTCGTCTTACCATTTGGTAAAATGTTATTTTACTTACTGAATAGAATATAATAATTTCAAAGACAATGAGAAAGTCTAAATTTTAATTAAATACTACCAAACCACTATAAAAGTAAAATTCAGCTACTTTGGTGAAAATGTATTTTTGATAGACCTCTTACTTTTTTATTTATTATAGGTAGTGAATGAATAAAATATTGACCTCTAAAGTGTTATCTATGTTGGGATGTTGGTTTAAATGACCAGGAAGGAATTGAGAGAAGCATAATGAGTAAACATTTTGGCAGAGAGCCTTAGTGATTTTCTTTAAAAAAAAAATTAGGCATAGTCTGCAAAGGAAAAGAAGAAAAATAAATTGAAAAGGGGATAATATATTGTTTATTCATTTAATTCAACTTGTTTTGTAAAATAGAGTGGCATCTTCCCTAGCTGCACACAATTAAGATTAAAATAACTTGATTCCTATTTACAATTAATAAATGCAAAATACTATGCAAATAGGATAGCTATATGAATAAATTATAATATATCTATTGACAATTTTTATGGTGCTTGTCTTGACAGAATTATTTTTAATGTTTTGAATTATAAGAAGTAAGACTATAAAATTAGTTGCTGTCTTGGTTTTATTTCTAGAATTTTTAAATGTTATCTTAATGTAGTAACTACATATTTTATTAGAAACAAAAATTGAACTGATTTGACTGTCTGAAATTGAACATACCAGATATTGCAATACTACTATAAATATAAAGATTGTTACAATTAGAAAAATATGTTTTTAGCTGAACTTATAATTTTATTACATATGAATAAAAATTGTTAAGTTGTAGATGCTTTTTACAGCATTGGGTGGGATCATTGTTAACTATCTGTGTGAAAACATATATAGATAAACAATACAATTTTGTCTGGACAGATTTCAAATGCATTTAGTGTCTTAGAACCTTAATAAAGCTCTTTAGAAAAATTACAGTTTGATAATTGCATCAGTTTATATGGAAACATCTATAATTATTTGTTTTAGTTTCAGTGATGACAACTATTGTAACAAATAGATGCAAAAAATATACAGTACTGCAAATGCTGCAAACTTATTTCTTGTTATCACAGCAATATGAAAGAGAAAAACAATTTGGTTGGATAGCTCTCCTCCATGCAGTCATTCATGATCCAGGCTGTTATCATCTTCAGCACGTCATGTTCAGAGTTAACCCTAGAGGTCATCTCCATTTCATCTGGATAAATGAGTATACAACGAAAGTTTTTTAGGTCAGTTCTAGAAGTAGCAAACAGTAATTTACTCACACTCTGTTGGCTGAAAATAAGTGATGCACCCACAACCAGCATCAAAGGAGGCTGAGAAATGTAGTCAAGTGTACCCAGAGGGGCGGGAGGAGGAAGGAGAACATGTATTTTAGTGAGTAGCCAATAGTTTTTATAATAATTTCTCTTTCTGGCCTGAAAATAGCTATACACATTATTTTTTTTTTTGTCTTCCCAATCGAGAGAACCTACACTTTCCATTTATTGCATCTAGCTCCAAGCCAAGGATCTCAAGCTAACACACAGTCCTCTGTCTCAATTTGACTATGACAGGCTTGGCTGGGTGCGGTGGCTCATGCCTGTAATCCTAGCACTTTGGGAGGCCGAGGTGGGTGGATCACCTGAGGTCAGGAGCTCAAGATTATGACATTCTTCTACTCTTCTCCAGCATCACAAAACCCTAAGAAATAATGATTAAGCAGTGGGTAACTGCTTTGTACCTGCAATAATCATTCCCATCTGTAAAGGGAAGAATGGGAAACACTCACAGGAGTCATTGGTCCATTGTGATAATGAAACCTGCTGCCCATGAGACCGCTGAGAAGATCCACTGTACTAAAGTAGAAGTTTCAGTTTATGGTCTTTTTGTCCATTCGTCATGGCTCTCCCCTCTGGATGGTTCTTCCTTTCTAGTCATGTGTGGAGTAGATGTTTCAGACTCTATAGAGTTTGTCTTCCTTGGGGTCTGCTCTATGCTGATTTAAATGTATAGGCCCAAAAGTTGGCTTTCATTCAAAGACTTTTTTAGATTATGTTTCTGGTTTCTTTGCAAATACAGTTCCCTCAAATTTTAGTAACATTTTTACCATTTCTACTCAGTAGCATGTGCCAGTAAATACAATGCAGTTTCTTTTCTAGATCTAATTCTCATGTCCACTTTTTTTTTCTGTGCTTCAGAACTCCTAGGCTTCTCTTTTTCTACCCAATAGTGTCTACTTTGAAGTAATCTGAAATAATAGGCTGAGGTGAGATAGTAAAACCCCTAATCTGCTCTGTCCCTCTCTCTCTCTCTCTCTCTCTCTCTCTTTTTTAAGCTGGTAAGTTTTAAAGGGTCTTTGTTCTTCAAAGCCTGTTTTTGTTTTTGTTTTTTCCTGTTATTTGGTTCTTAGAAGAAATTGTTTTTTTCCAACATTTTTAGCCCCAAATTACTAGACTTTCCTTTTCCTATATTTTTGCTTGTGACATGAGCAGTTCTTGTCTGACCTCATCTTCATCTTGTAGCACCTCACTAGAAGGAATGAGGAACAACTTCAAGGTACCAGTTTGGAGAATACTTATGACTATAACATTCATATTCCATAAATAATGACATATTTGAATTGAGACTATGAAATATAGTCTGTGCTAGGAAGAAAAGGAGAATATGAGTGTGGTGATCAGGTTGTACTCTCAGCTGCAATAAATTCAATAAAAATCATAAAACTTATAGAGCAGAAATATTAATTATGACAAAAAGTGCAAAAAAATCAACAATACAAAAAGTTGATTTTTTAAAAGATAAGTAGAACAAACCTTTGCTTGCCCAAAGAATAAAAGGAGAAAACTCAAATAAAATGGGAAGTAAAAAAGAAGAATTACAACTGATACCACAGAAATGCAAAGATTGTTAGAGAGTGCTATGAACAACTGTATGCCAACAAATTGCAAAATCTAGAAGAAAAGAATACATTCCTGGGCATATAAAGCCTACTAAGATTAAACATGACAAGACAGAATAGTTGAACAGAACAATAATGAATAATGAGTTTGAAGTAGTAATAAAAAAATCTTCCATCAGAGAAAAGCCGAGGACCTGATAAGATTCACTACTGACTTCTACCAACCAGTTAAAGAACTACTACCATTTCTACTCAGACTATTCCAAAATATTGAAGAGGAGGGAGTACTGCCAAACTCATTTTACAAGGCTGGCATTACTCTGATATGAAAACCAGACAAGAACACAATAAAAAAAAAGGAAAACTACAAAATAATATTCCTGATGAACATAGATGTAAAAATGTCAGCAAAATACTACAAACCAAATTCAGCAACACATTAAAAAGATAATGCATCATGATCAAGTGGTATCACCCCAGTGATGCAGGGATGGTTCAGCAAACACAAAACAATAAAAACGATGTATCACAACAACAGCATCAAGAACAAACAGCACATGATCAGTTTAATTGATGTTGAAAAAGTATTCAATAAAATTTAACATTCCTTCATGATAAAATTCATATTGTTAAAAGTTCTCTTCTACCCATAGTGATCTACAGATTTAATGCGATCTCTATCAAAATACCAATGACATTCTCCACAAAAATAGAAAGAACAATCCTAAAATTTATGTGGAACCCCGTAAGATCCCCAATAGCTAATTCAGTTCTGAGCAAAAAGCGCAAAGCCGGAGCATCACACTCTCTGATTTCAAATTATACTACAAAGTTATAGTAATGAAAACAATTGGGTACTGGCATAAAAACAGACACATAGACCAATGGAACAGAACTGAGAAACCTTAGAGTTTACTCATTTTTTATAAAAGTACCAAGAACTCACACACTTAAAGTTTACTCATGTTTTATAAAAGTGCCACGAACTTACAATGGGGAAAGGATTGTGTCCTTAATTAATGGTTCTGGGAAAACTGGGTATCTATATGCAGAAGAATTCCCTATCTTTCATCATATGCAAAAATCAATTCAAAATGGATTAAAGACTTAAATATAAGACATAAAAAACTATGAAACTACTAGATAAAACATTGGGAAGACACTACAGGACATTGGTCTTTCAAAAATTTGGGGGATAGCTCTTGAAAGCCCAGGCAACCAAATAAAAAATAGACACATAGTATTACATCAAGCTAGAGAGCTTCTTCACAGCAAAGAAAACAATCAACAGAGTGAAGAGACACGTTACAAAACAGGAGGAAGTATTTGCAAAATATTCATCCAACAATGGATTAATACTCAATATATAAGGAGCTCAAACAACTCAATAACAAAACACAATTCAATGAAAAATGGGCAAAAGAACTAAACAGACATTTCTCAAAAGAAGATACAAATGGCCAACAGGTATATGAAAAACAGGCTCAACATCACTAATCATTAGGGATATTCAAATTGAAAGCAGAGTGAGTTATCATCTCATCCTAGTTACTGTGGCTACTATCAGAAAGAAAAACTAACAAGTGCTGGTGGGGATGTGGAGAAAGGGGAATGCTCATACAGTGTGAGTGAAAATGTAAATTGGGACAGCCATTATGGAAAACAATATGGAGGTTCCTGAAAAAACTAAACATAGAACTACCTTATGATCCAACTATCCTTCTCCTGGGCATATATCCAAAAGAAAGGAAATCAGTATATGGAAGACATATCTGAATTCTCATGTTCGTTGCAGCATTATTCAAAATAACCAAGATATGGAATCAATCTAAGCATCCATCAACAGACGAATGGATAGCAAAAATGCAGTCTCTATGCACAGTGAAGGATTATTCAGCCATAAAAATGAAATGCTACCATTTTTAGCAACATAGTTGGAACTGAAGGTCTTTATGTTAAGTGAAATAAGCAAGGCACAGAAAGACATATATTGCCTGTTCTCACTCATTTGTGAGAACTGAAAAAGTGGATCTAATAGAGATAGAGAGTAGAATAGTGACTACCAGTGTCAGGGATGGGAAGTGGGTAGAAGGGTGGAGAAGTTGGTTAAGGGATACAAGAATACAGTTAGATAGAAGAAATAATTTCTAGTATTTGATAGTACAGTAGGACAATTATGATTAACAATAATTTATTGTATATTCTAAATACCTAGAAGAGAAGATTTGTTATACTCCCAACACAAAGATCATATGAATGTCTGAGGTGATGGATATTCTAATTATTCTGATTTGGTCATTAGTCATTGTATACAGGTATCAAAATATTATATATATTCCCCCAAAGAATGTACAACTATTGCATATCAATAAAAATATGTTGAAGATTAAATCAAACAGTGCATATGATGTAACAAGCATGAAAATATTAATAAATGGTAGTAGTTTTTGCTGTTGACATTAACAGGGGCAGAACTAGAACTGAATTCATCTGCTTTGGTTGCATATGTCATCTGTTTAAAATAAAATACAAAATACTTGAGATTAAACTTTACCCTTACATTTTATGTAACATAGTATATATATATATACATATCCAAAATATATATACTTGTAAATAAACATGTTGCCAAAAGCCCCAACCTATTTTTATATTTACAGATAATATTCTCTAACAGTGTGGTTTAATCGAGCACTCATAGTACTTGATAAGATAAATGTTACCAAAAACAAATGATTGAGAAATTTAATTACCAGCAATTATATCATTGATAATTTATTCAAAGGATTTTGTTTTTTATGAATATTTAATATAAATGTCAAAGGTACTTGTACCCATTGCTTTAAAAATGAATTTTATAGAATAGACTATTTATGAATTTTATAGATATTGCTGTTTTAAAAAGAATTTCATTATAATTGTTTTCTTTTCAGCAGGCATTTTGGAGATCAAAGATGGGTAAAAAAGATGCTTCTACTATAAAACTTCCTGTTGATCAATACCGAAAACAAATTGGTAAGCATGAATTATCTTTGATACACTCCTATGAATTAAGATAAAAACACAATTATGCATATAAATTTTCTTTAATACTTATGATACACAGAAATATATGAATGAAGAAGGACTTTATAGAGCTTTATGGAAGCAAAAGTACATGCAGTCCTGCTTTTACCATTGATATGAACTTCATGCACTTATGATTTTTCAGTGTTCTCATAATTTTAATTAATTTAATAAAACAAAAAACAAATATTGTTATTATTAAGGATGAATGCTTTTATACAGTCAGCATTTTTAAATTTTATAATTTATTAAATCATTCATTTGTATTAACATATTACATATTACAATTTAACATATTATAACTATAAATTCTGTTGACTCTTAATGGTAATAATTTGATAACTTCAAAATTCTCCTGTAAAATTTGCTAAATGAAGTAGAACAAATGTGGATTAAGTGGATAGCTGAGCTCAGAAAAAAAAAAAAAAAGAGAATTTTCCAGGGGTCATATTTGAAAGAAGGATTAAAGAAGACAGCATACAAGGATTTCTAGCTGGAATTGAAACTCCCAAATATATTTGGACACTCAAAGAGATATTACCCTAGTAGAATGGTGGACTAGAAAAGCTCACTCAGCACAGTAAGATAACAGGAAGCTTACCTGTTTTAAATTAGGCTCTAGGTGCAGAATTTTCTTTTCAAGGATACATGGAGTATTTCTAAAAAATTACCTACCTACATACTAGTGACAAAGGAGGTACCTCAAGTTTTAAAGAATCAATATCCTATAACTTCATTTTTTAATCAAATGTAGTAAATTAGAAATTAGTTAGAAGCAAAAAGGTAAATTTCCCTTCTTCACCCTACCATCTCCTTTAGTGTACTTTTTCCCATCTCTACCATTACTTTGGAAATACAAAATAAATTAATACAAATAACTCTTCTAGGCAACTAAAGGATAAACAAAGAAGTTACAGTAGAAGTCAGCATATAAATAGAAACAATTGATACCAAAATAAAATATATATCTATTTCATAAGTAAGATGCAAAATGTACACTTTATAAAGAAAAATATATTTCTGCAAAACAAAAGACATGCATACAAAGTGAAAAATATTTGGAATACAAATAGCCTGTTAATAATTTTTATAGTACATATTTGAGGTGGACAACATGACATTTTATTATACACACACATACATACACATACACACACACAGTAGATGATTACTACAGTCAAGCCAATTAAAAATATGCATCATTTCGCATAGTACCTTTTCTGTGTGGCTAAGAGTTCTAAAATCAACTCTCAGCAAATACCAGTGTAAAAATACAACATTATGAATGATAGTCCTCATGTGGTATATCAGATCCATGGTTTATTCATCCTGCATAATTGCAGTTTTACTCTCAACCTACATCTCTGCATTTCCCCTTCCCTCCAACTCTAGTAACCCCCATTCCACTTTCTTTTTCTACGTATTTGACATCTGTTTTTTAAGACTGAAAATATAAGGGAGATCATGCAGGATTTTTCTTTCTTTGTCTGGCTTACTTCACTTAGCATAATGTCCTCTAATTTCATCTACGTTTTCCCAAATGGCAGGGCCTTCTTTTTAAAGGCTGAAATGTATTTTCATATATGTATAAAATTTCTTGGGCCTGTCATTTGTCAGTGGACACTTAGATTGTTTCCACATCTTGGTTATTGTGAATAATGTGGCAGCAAACATGGTATCTCTAAAATGTGATTTTATTTTCTTTGGGTATATACCTAGGAGAGGGATTGCTGGGTCATATAGTAGTTATATTTTTATTTTTTGAGGAAACTTCATACTATTTTTTCCATTTCTACTAACAATATACAAGGATTCCCTCTTTTCCATATCCTCGCTAACATTTGTTATCTTTTGTTTTTTTGAACACAGTCATCCTAACAGGTGTGAGACATTATCTCATTGTGGTTGGATTTGCACTTAGGACCTTTCCATGTACCTGTTTGTCATTTTCTTCATTTTCTTTGGAGAAATGTCTGTTCAGATCTTTGACCATATTCTAGTCAGGTATGTTCATTCAGGTTGTCTTTTTTACTACTGTAAAATAGAAGTTCCTTATATAATTTGACTTAACTCTTTCTCAAATACATGGCCTTGAGTACATATTTTTTCTAGTACATATTTAAGGTGTACAACATGTTGTTTGGTTATACGCACATATACATACACATACACACAATGATTACTAAAGTCAAACCACTTAAAATATGCATTATCTCACATAGTACCTTTTCTGTGTGTGGTAAGACATACACAGAAAAATATTAAAAATGGTAAGTGATTACTACACACACAGAATAGGTAATTACTACAGCTTTGGTTTAAATTCTATTTTGTCAGATGTAAGTATAGCTACTCTTGCCCTTTTTGGGTTACAATTTGCATAAAAAATCTTTTTTCATCTCTTTACTTTTGGCCTGTGTGTGTCTTAAATCTAAAGCTAGTCTTTTATAGAGAACATATAACTGAACCTTTTTTTATCCATTGAGGCACTCTATATCTTTTGATTGTTGAGTTTAATGTATTTATGTTTAGAGTAATTTTTGGTAGTAAGTACTTTTTATTGTCATTTTTGTTAATTGTTTTCTGTCTCTTTTGCACTTTTTTTGGCCTTTTCTTCCTCTCTTGGTATCTTCCTTTGCAACGTGATAATTTTTGTGGCGATATACTTCGATTCTTTCTATTTATCTTTTCTGTATGTATTATTAGTTTTTTTTCTTTGTGGTTACCCTGAGACTGCCATAAAACATCAGTCTAGTATAAAGTGATAATAGCTTAACTCTAATCACATACAAAAGCTCCACTCTTCTTTGCAAATTGATTTTTAACCTTGTTTTTTATACAGACAATGTTTTCTCTATGATGTCATTTTGATACTAATGTTTCCTCTCTGAATTAGTATGCAGTCAATTTTGTTAACATTCCCTGTGCTTGAAAGGAATAGGTATTCTCTATTCGGATGCAGTACTACTTATGTTAATTACGGTTTTCACATCTATTTTGTACTTTTTATATATTTTAGCTGTCATTTTTGAAAACCCTAAGACTATAGTTTTCAATTCTTGTACTTCTATCCAGTTCTGCTTTGTATATTTGAACCTAAGTTTTTGTTGCTTAGCATTTGTAAATTGGTCAATATTTATATGAGTTTCCTTTTCTATTATATCATGGCCATTTTATTCATAAAGTATTCATGAAGTTTCTGTTTAGAGTTCTTTTTGTTTTATATTAATATTGGTAAAATACCATTATTTTGTTAAGTATTCTGGTATTTTTCTTATTCCTTTATTTTTATCTATAAATAAATGATGTAATTGATTTCTTAATACAGCTGGAAAATCTTTGTTTTTAAGCAAGTAAATTTAATGTAATTTACTATGAATAAAAAATCTGCATATTTTGCTATTTTTATTTACATTTTTCATTTGTAGTGATTTTCCTTGAGTAATCTCTACTCTAAGCTTTTTTCTTGCACATTTTGACCACGTTTTCTTTTGCATTCTCCAATTTTCAACATTTTCCATTCATTTTTTTTTCTTTTCCTTTGGGAATGGGGGAGGAATTTCTCATATTTTTGTGGCATATTTGACTTAATAAAGTATATTGGTATTCTTATTTAACCTAGACAATAAGGATTTTTAAACTTTTATATGTGATTAATTTTTTCTATCTTTCATGTATGCTTTTTTAAAATTGTACTTACTGTAATTTAAATGTTATTGATGACAGAAGCTCCATCTAATACTTTTGGCATCTCTAATGATGTTCACAAAAGGTACTTAATAAATATTTAAATAATCAATAAAGCAACTTTCCGAATTCTCAGGTGATTCTTAGTTTTGTGCTATTCTTTTAGTTTTTGTTTTTGATTTTACTTCTCTAGATCCCCAAGGGTATCCTGCATATAACCACTTCTTAAATGTTTGTGGATTTTTTTTGTATGCTTATCTTGCAAATTCAAGTTTGATATTATTTATAATATCTTCTATTTAACTATAATCCTCCTCCATGTATAACTTGTTGCTTGGTTCAGATTTTTCATATGAATTTTCTTGGAAATTCATGTATATTTTTTGAGTAACTTGATTTATATTTAGCAGCTCTAAGCTTGGCGCTTGTTTCTTAGTACCTAATGTGGAATTAAATGATGGTGTATTCTCTGTAATGGCAATGTATGACAAGCTGTTCTGTCCAAGCATTGAAAAATTATCATTGGTTTGAATTGCTTCTATAAAATAATTAAAATAAAAATATTGCACGAGATTTAAATTTTTAATGATGAATTTACCAGCCTGCTGTCTATAGTCTGGATATCTCTAAATAATTTTGAGGAAAGTTTTACTTTTTGCATAGTTTACTTTTGTAGATAATACTTTTTTTCTTTAGGGAAATTATGGTATCATTTGCACGATTTATCTAATATAAAGATACCTTATGCTGATGGTAATCTACTGGATTATTTATGGCTTTGTAGTTATTTTCATTCTATCAATTTGATTGATTAATGTTTTACTTAGTTATTTTCCTGTGAGAATTTGTAATTTTATTCATCTTGAAGGTATTAAAATGCAGGCCATTTGTTTGCTGACATAGTTACTAGAGTTTTTTAACAAGATTCCATACAAAAGACTATCGACCCCTAGTTTTATAATGAGTCTTCTTCAGATATTTGTAGTTTGCAATATAGGAACTGAAAATAGTGTTCATATGGCAGTTGCAAATTTACTTTATATGACAAATTGTATTACTTTTATATGTAATTTAGGTAATGCAAGAAAAGTAAGATTCCAAGTAATGTTTTGCTTTTTGATGAAGGGAGGAAGGATATGAAGCAGTTGATGAGATTTATTCTAAAAATGTTGAAGGAAATATAAAAGTCTTTATTGTTGATTACCAAATATTATTTGCCAGTATTTTTGGCATACTGTAAATAACTCATCTTCCAATAATTCATTTGAGTAATTAAATTTAGATTGCAAATTTTTCTTTTCAAATATTTTGACTCTTATCTTTCTGCTATACTATTGTATCTTAATTGGTGTGGTCTATATAAATGGACAATAAATTATATATCTTTGTTATAGAGATCAGACAGTGAATAGAATTTGGTATTCATCCCAGACAGAATTATGATTGAATGTATTTGCAAGATTAAAGCACTGAATTTACTTTTTTCTAATTAAAGGCAATTAAAGATTTCTAGACACAAATAAAAGACAATGAATTGAGGAATAAGTGCAGGAGCAAGTCCATTTGCAGGTGAAAAGATGTGCCTTTGAAGCAGAACCAGCTGTATTTTCATTGAAAGAATAACAGTTTAGGAAGCTTTTCTGCATGTGCTTGCTTGATAGCATAATGTACTCATAAGCAGCTTATGCAGTATTCAGAAAATAACAGTGCATTAATTTTTAAAGCAGCAAAGGCAGAGGAAGAGCAGTACTGCCACATGATGATAATGAGTGTGGCTAGTGTAAAGTTGGCTGTTGAGAAAGAAACAGTGAGCTTCTAGAAAATGAACATTCGTAAAACAATAACCAGATATTCACATGATAATGAGCTTGAGCAGCAATATCAACAAAGGGCAAAGATGTAGTCTTGTTTCTGGGCAAGGGTAAGGAATTGAACAGCAAAGAGCCAAAAGCAGTAAAGTAGTCTATTTTTTAAATTAAACTAAGGAAACTCCCATGAAAAACCATGTTAAAATGATCGCTTTAAATATGAAATAATTGCTGGCATAAAGAAGATTTTAGAACATATAAAGGACTGTATTTATCCCTAAAATATTGTAATATGAGGAATTGTAAATGATAAGGTATTAAAATAGTTATAATTTGTATTAAATGTATGTTTCATACCTATCAACATTAATATATGTTTTAGTAGATATCTTTGTATGTACTTAAATGTGTGTGTATGTTTTATAGGGATAGCACTAATGCCAGAGTTAAACATGTTTTATTCATACTAATATATAAGCAAAGGGACTTTTAACACAGGTAATATCTACTAATTAGAAATTATAACTTAAAATGGCTTTTAAGGTATTTTGTTTACAAAGAGATACTACAGATTTTCTGTACAGTATATGCAAGTAAAAATTACGTATTTGCATGCTACCATCTTTGCTACCAAAAACTCCAGACATAATTTGAAATTCTTTGCATTGACGTTTGCTTTTTAATAATGACTCTACTTTCAGTTAATACTCATAATCCCTGTTTAAGACTTGAAGCAGGAAATTCTGTTGGTTATGCACCATGAATTTACAAGAATATATTTTTAAACTATATTTAACAGGAGGATACAGAGACGAACTAGTTTGATTTGTTAAAGTTGCTGGAATTGGGAGCTGTACATACATTATTAAGTGAATCTTTGTCTTCTATTAAGCTTACCTCTTTGTCTTCTGTTAAGATTACCTATGAGATTGGAAGAAACCAATCACAAAGGTAATCTTTTAGGGACTAAGAAAGATGTTTAAAATGATCCTAGGAAGAAGTATGCATTCTACTTTGGTCTTAGTTTTATAAGATGTGAGCCATATAAGGAAATAGCCATGATTCCAAAGAAAAACAAAAAAGAAAAATGGTGGTAAAAAGAGAAAGTCCTTCAGTGTCAAAACTCCCAACTTATGTCAATCCCTTCAAAACTTGTTCCTTTTCCCTTATATTTTGGAATCAATCAATCAATCTCAATCTCTTTCTCTCCCATTTTCATGTTATTTCAAGATGAATTTCTGTCAAGGCGGAGGTTGCAGTGAGCCGAGAGTACGCCATTGCACTCCAGCCTGGAGCCTGGTGACAGAGCAAGACTCTGTCTCAGAAAAAAAAAAAAAAGAAAAGAAATCTGAAAATGATCTAAGGATATCCCCACAACCCTCCACAGCTACCCAAACATATATCTCAATCAAGCTTGAGCTGCTGTTGACTAAGTCCAGGATCTTAAGGGACATCGAGTCTTCCTTTTATTCTATTGTGATCTGGCCTAAAAGAAGAGGAAGAAATGTT